CTGTGACAGTGCCCTTCAGCGCAGGGTTTAGACAAATCCCAAACAGATGAATCCACATTTGACATTTCCCTCCATCTCCTGACAAAGACTTCTCTTCGCGCTGACCTCACTATCACTTTATAGGGTGGTCCAATGGCTCCGGCTCCATCCTGCCCCACAATCCTGCCCCGCCTTCCCCTATATCCCCATATAAACACCCCCTCCCTCTCACCCACCCCTGCCCCACTTCACGTCTCCCCTTCCCCGCAACTTCAATGGCAAATCCCTTCATGAATAAATTCTATAGCGAGAGCCAACCTTCTGTTGTGTTGTTAAGTAATTATGACTTTTACGAGGGAGTAAAAGTTCAGTTGAATGGGTATTTACTAGCTTTAATTTTTTTTGGGTCCAGAGTCATGAATTTAGATCCTTGCTATGCTAAGCACTTGTTTTTCTGATATATAAAGAGAAGGAATTAGCAATTTTCATTTCTGGTTCCAAGTGGAGAAGCAATAAAGAATAGAAATATAGATGACAGAGAAAAAGTCTAGTTGGGGCAAATACACTTTGCTTCCCTGAAGCAACTTAGCGGCTGATGCTCTAAGGACCTCAAATTTTCAATCGGTCCCCGCATTCCCTATATAAATACCCCTCCCAACTCCGGACTTCACACCCGCAATTTCAATGGCAAACCCCTTCATGAATAAATTCTACATCCAGAGCCAACCTTCTGCCTCCAAACCCACCAAGCATGCAGCAGCTTCGTCCACCACCTCATCTCCGCGACGTTTTCCTTGCCTCTACTGCCCCCAGGAGTTTGACACCTCTCAAGCTCTCGCCGGCCATCAGAATGCTCACAAGCGCGAGCGAGCCGCTGCTGCTCGGCTAAACTTTCCGGCCAACAACCTGCAGGAATACCGCCTACTTCCTCTGTTCCCCGCTTATCCACAGCAGCCACAGCAGCAGCACCAGGACCAGAACCTTGCTTCCAGCTCGGTCCCTCAGAGCTTTCCGGGCGTTTCGACTGCTAATGCTCTCTCCACTACCACTGATGTGGATGATTCTGCCAATATGGATCTCACCCTCCGCCTGTGAAGGGCTTTAGACTAAATGGTATGAAGATATATGTAAATGCTGGTTTTATTAATAAAATGGGTTTTTAAGTTTGATAGTATTAGAGATTAATTTCATGGATGCTTAATTTGTACTTAAATATTATTTTTTAAATTATTTTTGAATAACAGGAGAAAAGAAAAATATATACGAACTTTAATTTGTTTTTTTAACTGAAATAAATAAATTAAACCTCTAATTAAGGTGACGGAACAGATAGAGGCATAACCTAATATCAGAAACGAACGGCAAAAAAATAAATAAATAAATAAATAAGGAAGAAAGAAAGAAAAAAGGAGAAAAAGAATAAAAAAATCGTTTGGGCGGTTGGGTCTTGATTGTAGCCCAACCAAAGTCTAGCCCATTCTCCCCCAGAGTGAAAATACCAAAACCCTACCCACATAGAACATTTTTAGGAGGGGATGGTACAAAATAAGGAGGGCAGCTACGCGTAAAAATCTCTGGAGTCTTCTTTCTTCAGCCGTCAACCTCTCTCCGGCCCCCCGGGTTGGATCTCACCGCCATTGCTGCCGATCATCTCTGATCTCATCATCTTCACCGATCACCACCAAACAGCCACTCTCTTTACTCAAAACCACAAAAAACCCCTTGTGTTTCTTCTCTGTAACAGCCGCACAAAAGGTACAAAACTCTCAGAAATTTCCAGCTTGTGCTCTCGGTGATTTATGCAGAAACAGCAACGGTAGAGAGAAGAAGATTCGGGGCAGAAGGGCAGAAGAGAGAAGGAGCTTGGGTGATTTCCGGTGTCTCTTTGGTGGTTATCCGGTGGCTGGACCTGTTCTATTAGCTACATATACAGCACAGCCATCGCAGCATATCAATTAAGACCTGGATTCTAGGAAGCAATTACAGAAAGCAATTAATTAGCAATTGCAT